GAGTGAGCCTCAGTGAGAAGGAATTTTTCTATGTAGTGGGTATTAAATATACCACAAAAGGCCACCCCCAAGCTTAACTAAAGATACAGCAAAAGTAAAACAACAACAAAAAATTACAGGTGACAAATCCACAAGGAGTTATTTTTAAAAATTAGGATATTTTAAAGTGTACTAAGGTGTGTCCTTCACCTGTGAGATTGAGCTCTAAAAAGAAAATCTCTTCTAAAACATCTCTCTTAATATCATGTCATACAGACTGCTGTACAGAAATATCCATGGGTCTATTTCAGGAAGGCAATTCTCATAGTGGAATGAACACTAGATCACAAGACTGGGCCCCAGGATCGGCACCATCTGGTACTATACCTTACTATACACCACCTCAAACACATTGTGGCCAAAGCTGAACTTATTATCTTCATTCATACCTGTTCCTGTCTCTTATTCCCTTTCCTCATTACCGGCATCCCCATCTACCTAGTCACCCAAGCAAAAAGCAGAGAATTCTTCCCTCTTTTTCTACTTCCCTTCCTCTGAATCATCAACTTTCTCAGATGTTCCCTGTTCTCCATCCTTAGTCCTAATTCTTTAGTTCAGACCCTCTTCATTGTTGTTGTGGACTTTTGTATCAATCTTCTAATTTGTCTGCCTGCTTATAGTCTTGACTCCCTCAAATCCATTCTTCTTATAGCTTCCAAAACAAATGATTTCAAATTTCATTTTATTTATTTTTAAACTTTATTGGGGAGCAGTGTGTTTTTCCCAGGACCCATCAGCTTCAAGTCAAGCTGTTGTCCTTCAATCTTAGTTGCGGGGGGTGTGAGGAAGCAGGGGCGTAGGGGACGCAGCCCACCATCCCATGCAGGAGTCGAACCCAGCAACCTTGTTGTTAAGAGCACGTGCTATAACCAACTGAGCCATATGGCCACCCACTGGCAGCTCAGCGGCAGCTCAGCTCAAGTCCTTGTCTTCTTTTTAGCTGAGCCATCCTGCCACCTGTTGGCAGCTTAGCGGCAGCTTAGCTTGGGCCGGGAATTGAACCGGCCACCCCGCTGCTCAGAGCTTGCACTTTTGAGCGAGCTCTTAACCAACTAAGCCACTCAGCCAGCCCCTAAATGGAATCTTTTAAAGTAAATTTGAAGTATATCTTTTTTTATAAAGATGTACTATTACTCAAAAACATTGGAAACCAGTGACTGTGACAACTAAATCTAAATCTTCACTAGTAATCAAACTAAAAACAGTTGAAGAGTACATAGGCAACAAAGTATATGATGTAAGAATATGTTTTTAAGAAAGCATTATAAACTATAATGCACTGGAAAAGCATAAGATGACATTTATCTTCAATAAATAATAAAAATCAAGAAATGGTTTTCACCTTAAGTTTTGGATATATGTGGCGCAGAGAATCTGCAGTTCCCTTGTCTGCTTCATCAGGAATACACACAATATCTAGCTTCATTTTCATCTTGAATTCTGCAGATAGAGCCTTTTGGACATCCCTCGTTGTAACGACAATGACTTCTATCGCACAAAAGGAAAAAAGAAGGAAAAATACAAAAACTGACATTCATTTAGACAATGGTTTCACTATTTCAATCAGAAATGGAGTTTCTAGATTTAATAACAGTTAATATTATTATTGAGCCTTTTCAATGTATTTTACATGTGTTCTCTCAATTCTTACAACAATCTCATTTTACAAATGAGAAAACTTGTACTAAAAGTTGTAACTTTATTAAGGGTCACACAACTAGTAAGCAATGGATTCAAGATAAAATTCAGGGGCCGGNCAAAAATCCCCACAACAATTGTATGTCTATATACAAGCAATAAACAATTGAAAAACAGAAGAAAAAAATACCAGTTATAATATCATTAAAAACATTTACCTAGGAATAATTTACTAAGAGATGTTTAAAACCTCTAAAATGAAAATTATAAAGCACTATTGAGAGACATTAAAGGAAACCTAAATAAATAGATGTTCAAGCATCGGAAGAATCTATATTAAAATGTCAATTCTCCCCAAACTGATCTATCGATTCAATAAAATTCCATAAAAGTCCCAGAAAGCGTTTTTTGTAGAAACTGACAAACGGATTCTAAAATTTATATGAAAATCAAAAGGACCTACAACAGCCAAGGCAATCTTAAAAAAAAGGAACAAAGTTGGCAGATTTACATTACCTGATTTCAAGACCTATCATAAAGTTAAAATAATCAAAACTTATTCAATGTGGTACTGAAGTCAAGGCAGACAAATAGACCAACAGGACAAAAGGGAAAAGACAGAAATAGACTACACATACTTGTATGTGATCAACTGATTTTCAACTAAGGTACCGGTGTAATTCAATAGAAAAAGGAAAGTTTTTTTTAACAAATGCGGCTGGAACAACCAAATATCTGTATAGAGAAAAGTTAACCTCTATCACTACCTCACACCACATACAAAATTAAATGAAGATGGGTTATAGGTATAAAAGCCAAACCTATAACATTTTTAGAAGTAAACATAAAAGAATATCTTCATAAGCTTGGGGTAGGCAAAGATTTCTTAGACAAGACACAAAAAGAACTAACCATACAAGAAAAAAATGAGTAATCTGCTGGGCCAGCCGAGTGGCTCAGTTGGTTAAAAGAGCGAGCTCTGAGCAACAGCGTACGATGCCCGGCCTGAGCTGAGCTGCCACTGAGCTGCCAACTGGTGGCAGGATGGCTCAGCTAAAAAAAAAAGAAAAAGAAAAAAAAAAGAGTCATCTGGATTTCATCAACATTTAAAATTTCTGGTTATCAAAAGACACCAAAGCGAAAAGGCAAGCAGCAGACTGGCAGAAAACATTCACAACCCATATCTGACAAAAGACTTTGCATCTGAAATACATAAAGAATTTCTACAGTCAATGATCAAAAAGCAAACAGCTCATTTAAAAAATGGGCAAATGCCTTGAACAGTTACTCCATGAAGATAAACAAATGGGCAACAAACACATGAAAAGGTGGTCAGCATCATTAATATCAGGGAAAGGTAAATTAAAACCACAATGAGATACCACTATATATACACCCCACTAGAATGGTTAAAATTAAAAAGATTGGCAATACCAAGTATTGATAAAGATATGAAGCAAATGCAACTCTTATACATTGTTGATAGAAGTGTAAAATGGTACAACCACTTGAAAAACAATTTGGCAGTTTCTAATAAAGTAAACCCTACAATCTAGAATATTGTTACAAAAAGATTTGTAGAACAATGTTTCCAACAGCTTTATTCATAATATCCAAAAATTAAAAACAACCCAAATGACCATCAACAGGAAAATGGGTAAATAGTGGTATATTTATTCAATGGAATACTATTTAGCAATAAAAAGAACGAACTGCAACATGAATGCAATATTCATTCATATGAATGAACCTGAAAAATATAATGTTGAACAAAAGAAACCAGGATAAAATCGTATAATTCCATTTATACCTAGTCCATGAACAAGCAAAATTAATATATGGTGATAGAAATCAGAACAGCAGTTGACTCTAGAGCTGGGGGACTGACTAAAAAGAAGCACAAAGGAAATTTCAGAGGTGATGGAAATGTTCTAGATTTGGGTAATGGAAACCTGGGTGCATATATTTGTCAAAACTCATTGTACTGTACACTACTCAATATCTGTGTATTTCACTGTGTGTAAATTATTCCCCAAGAAAAGGGGGCAGGGGGAAAGGCTATGTACATTCTGCATTAATTTTTTTGTTCTTTGGTGTACAGGTAGGTTGAAAAAGTTACTACATCTGTTCACAGTCTGAACAGAAATAGCAGAAGAAAGTCTGCCCCCCAATTCAAACAAGATGGCAACATTACCACACAAATTGAACTTTTCCCAAAGGACATCAATTTTCGAACAATTTATGATGGCTCTTTCTCAATTTATAGGCCACTGGCCACTGGGGAGACTGTGTCCTCATATCCATATGCCCTTGTTAGCTTCTTAATCAAAGGAGACTAAAATCTCAAATATTATCATGTAAGGGGATCTGGAATTTTTAGAAGTTCCTTTGTACTTCTTTCCAGTTAATCTGTCATCAGCAGAGTCCATTGCTACTCTAACTTTTATCACTATATAATAATTTTGCTTATTCATTAACTTCATATAAATGGAATATATATATATATATATTTTTAGCTGAGCCATCCTGCCACCTGTTGGCAGCTTAGCGGCAGCTTAGCTTGGGCCGGGAATTGAACCGGCCACCCCGCTGCTCAGAGCTTGCACTTTTGAGCGAGCTCTTAACCAACTAAGCCACTCAGCCAGCCCCTAAATGGAATCTTTTAAAGTAAATTTGAAGTATATCTTTTTTTATAAAGATGTACTATTACTCAAAAACATTGGAAACCAGTGACTGTGACAACTAAATCTAAATCTTCACTAGTAATCAAACTAAAAACAGTTGAAGAGTACATAGGCAACAAAGTATATGATGTAAGAATATGTTTTTAAGAAAGCATTATAAACTATAATGCACTGGAAAAGCATAAGATGACATTTATCTTCAATAAATAATAAAAATCAAGAAATGGTTTTCACCTTAAGTTTTGGATATATGTGGCGCAGAGAATCTGCAGTTCCCTTGTCTGCTTCATCAGGAATACACACAATATCTAGCTTCATTTTCATCTTGAATTCTGCAGATAGAGCCTTTTGGACATCCCTCGTTGTAACGACAATGACTTCTATCGCACAAAAGGAAAAAAGAAGGAAAAATACAAAAACTGACATTCATTTAGACAATGGTTTCACGATTTCAATCAGAAATGGAGTTTCTAGATTTAATAACAGTTAATATTATTATTGAGCCTTTTCAATGTATTTTACATGTGTTCTCTCAATTCTTACAACAATCTCATTTTACAAATGAGAAAACTTGTACTAAAAGTTGTAACTTTATTAAGGGTCACACAACTAGTAAGCAATGGATTCAAGATAAAATTCAGGGGCCGGNTTGCCATGGGCTACCGTGTGTAGCCAGCAGCCACTGTGAGCGGCCGTCCAGAAGCCGGTGACTGATCTGCCTCACCTGGGAAGAGCGCAACGATGGTGCCAACTTGGGCCAGTGAAGCAACGTCCTCCACAACTAGACTGAAGAACAAAAAAAAAGGACAGCAACTTGTCTGTTCCCCTTCCCCCAATTCCCCCAGCGCTGTTCCCATCCCCCAATTCCCCAATAAAAATCTCAAAAAATAAAAAAATAAAAAAAGATATTCAAGAATAAAATGTGAGTCAAGGGTTTTATATCCATATAAACTGGCTTTGAAATACAATGGCTGCAGATAATCTATTGCGCACTGATTTCATGAGTACTTCTTAATCGACTAGAAATAAGCCTCAGATGACAAATGATTGGAAGACAAGGTCTAGGGGCTGGTGGCAATAATTAAGAGCTGCTAACATCACAAAAAAAGAGACAATCAGAAAAGTATGTGCCTCCAGAGAGGACACACCACCACCTATGAAACAGTCTTGGCCCAAAAAACTCAAACCTGAATTTAACTTGATCCAACTACCAATTTACAGAAAATATAGAGGACAGGAGCACTTATTAAACAACACCACAGGGTAGCAATCAACAAAATACAGACTGTGGGGAACTCTGAAAGAAAAAGACCCAGTTTCTTCAACAAATAAATTATAAGGAAAGAAAAAGAAATGGAAGGAAAACCTATATTAAGAGACAATTATAATGTGTAGTCCTTATCTGCTTCCTGATTTAAAAAACATACTAAAAACATTTAAAAACTATATTTATGAGGCAATTGGAAACTCATACACTGATTGGATATTTGATGATACTAAAACTTATTAGTTACTTGGTTTTTTAAGGTGGCATTATAGTTTTATTTTTAAAGGCTTCTCATTTAGCAATATATTCTGAAATATTTACAGATGAAATAATGTGATATCTGAGATTTACTTCCTTTTGTACATGTTTGAAATTTTCCATAATAAAGTTTTAAGAAATAACTAGGGTCCTCAATTGGTGTTGAATAAATAGCAACTACAGTCATTATTATTAGTTGACCCTCAATAAATATTTGCTAAATGAATGAGTTCAGACATAGGTAATACTGAATCATTCAGTCTTATCAACATACATGAAACACCATTATGGAGAAAATATAAAATCTAAGAACTTCCATGTTATCGATACCAGTTATAAGAATGGAGCTCACTCACCCAGGGCCTGGGAGAATGAATGAGCCAATAAATAATTTCTGCTGATAAGTCAGGGAAAGAGGTTTGGGAAGCTGAAATAAAAAGGGAGAAGCCAGTAAGTCAGCAAAATTGTGAGACTGTAAGGCAAAATGAAGTAGAAAACAGTTCGAGAAGAATAAAACCAAATGCAATGTGTTCTTTCATTGAAAAACGTAACAAATATGATGTCCAGCTTCAATATCTAATAGGTGCACATGATGGAAGTTTCTACAGATAAGTAAGAATGTTGTAATACATTTAGCAAATACAATGTAAATTTTAAAAAGTTATAAATTAAAATGGTGAAGTACATTTAAAAAAAAAAAGCCAAATGAAGTTAATATACTACCGTGGTCTTTCTTTGGGAAAGGCAGAAGCCACGTGGTATAGCCTCACAGTAATATTTGGGGAACTCAATCTGGAGGAAGTGGGTAAAGATAAAAGAACCAAAAGCTACCAACCCAAAACTCTCAAAGTGAATACTATTTTTATCTTACCTAAAATCTTACTGAAAACTGACTTACTGAAAAAAGAATCTCCAAATGTTTAGGAAGTTGCTTTGTGGGCACAGGGAAGAGAAACAAATTGGCTCAAGGGGCCATTGCTTTTAAACGATGGCACAGCCTGGGGATACAGCTTTCTCCTTGAGAAAGGTGCCTGACACCCGTTAGCAAACACTGACCAGCTGCCTTCTCAGGCTGTTTCACTTTCTTCAACTGTTATATGCATTTCCACTGCCCTTCCTACAAGTTTATGACGATCCCAATCAGACAGTTCTGAATTTTGGCTTAGCTCAAGTTTTACTTTGTTCTTAATGGCTATTTAGGAGTTTACTTCTATTCCTCCACAGGTTAGCTTTGTTGCCTTCTACTCCAGGCCTGAATGCAGGTTGATATGAAGCCAGGATTTCAGGAGCCAATGGTATAGGAGAAACCAAGGGGAGATAGCAAAGATAGTAGAGACTTGCTACTCCAAGTCACAGCTCCAAGTTCCAACTTGGGTGGAAGCTTAGAAAAACAAAGGGAGGCCATGAAGTGAATGGAAATGCCTATACACAGAGGGGGCCAAAAAGATGTATACACATTTTAAGAAATGAAAAAACTATGAAAATTGTAATATTCAATATATACCGATAAAAGATGAATACAAGTCATGATTGACTTCTGTAATTACAAGAGGTGCTCAAAGTGGTTACCATCAGTGTCCAGATACTTCTGATTATGGCGAACTACTGCTTGAGCAATGTTGACCAAAGTGTCCACTTGTAGACATTTTTTTGGCACATGGCACCCCTGGCATATTGCACTGGAGGCCCTGGCCAGGGTAATAAGATAATTAAAGAGAAATAAAAGGCATGAAGATTAAAAAGGAAGATGTAATA